GGGGCAATCTCCTCCTGTACCAGTCAGATCTGATTTGACAGTACACGCACACAAAATAATAAAAATAAAATCTAAAAAAAATATGAACATTCCGTCTCCCAATTTCCTTGTTAGACAATACAAAACTCCACTCTAACTAGAAGTGGTGGCTGGTCTCTAGAGTTATCCTGATAGTTCCTCTTCAGTAAACTGTCTTTCTTGGCCTGAACTGGGTGGGTTCTGTCCTTTGTTTGAAACCTTACAGTTACCAGCCAGTCCCACTTTCCTCCCAGGCGTTAGACCCCTACAGGGACAGAGAAGGAGAAACTAGGCCCGACCAGTAGGCAGGTCTATGTCCAGTGTCGGCAGAGAGTAGCCAGAAAGACCGTGTCTGACTCCCTGATGAACCAGGGCCACATATTTCTCAGCAGGGAATGGTAAGAGATAGAACTGTGACCTGATCAGTCTCTCTCTCTCCTGTTCCCATAAGAGACGGCAAAAACAAAGTTTCTCAGAGGAATTAAGAAAAGAAGGCAAAAACAGTTGCATTTAACCATCTTTTTCTTTTCCTTTCTCCTTTCCCTCCTTATTGCAGGACATTTTACAATTAACATAATAACTCAGTCCAACTCTCCCCTGACCAGTTTAATGGATGTTCCATCATCCCTTGCAGACCAGAGGGGTCTCAGGGACAATTGTCCAAAGCCAGTAAATATCTCTGCCCCTTCAGAACAGTGGGAAGTAAACACAAATATAGTGTCTTCAAGAGCCTCTGAAATGATCAGAATGCTTGGTAGAATCATTCAATACCAGGGATGAACTTATAATCCACCCTCCACACATTCTGTGTGGTCATTAAAGAGCAAAATCCCATTTATATGAGGGTCTAGCACCCTTCAACTGCAAACTCTTACAATGCAATCTATTGTGCCTGATTACACATAATCTCAAACTATGACCAGGGAACCTTCAGTAATAAGAAACTAAAGATTGGAAGCTGTTGTTACAGGAAAGGATCTTATAGGAATCTTCTCTCTGAAATTAATCAAACAAAACTCAAGCTCTACCACTATTATACATGAAAGAAGCTCAAGTGCAAAATCCTAGAAATAAATCAGATCCACTAATCCCCCATGGTTCAGAAAATGACTTTGGTTCAGAAAATGACGTTTCCAAAGTAACAACTGTTAAAATTAAAGACCTGAAACAAACTGTTGCAAGAGAGACAGGGTATGAAGATGTGAATGCCTGGCTAGAGTGGATTGTTCCCCACACCAGAATGGTCATCAGGCCCAGTGGGCATATACTGTATGACTGCAAGACCCCACAGTGGGGCAGTGGAGCAGTGAAACCGGCCGACTGTTGTCAGTATTATTCCCTGTGGTTAAGGGTCCTGTAGTTTATTCCCCAAGAACCAGGAGGCCACTGGGATTGAATGACAATGTCACCTGTGCCTCTCTAGGTTTGAGGAGAATTTCATGTTCTTGAGAAACCTAATGGGATGCAAGGAGCATCTAACTTGATGCAATGAGCCTCACTTTTGAGCAGTTCAAAGTCAGTCTTTACCTTTCAAAGGACAGATGTGTGGTGGTATTGTGGGAAATAATTATTTAAAGTCTTACTAGCAGAGTGGAGTGGCACTTGCACCGCAGTACAACTGGCCATTCCTTTTGTTAGGCTTCACCTGTAGAACTATCCCTTATCCATTTTGCAATTCAACCGTCTACTTATAAACTCATTGTTCTGTCCTATCTGATTCCAGAAAACTCTAGAAGTGCCATTTCCATCTGGTCACCACCCATACAATTCCCATTAGTGAATGAAAGCACCCTTGCACTTCCACTTGCTCTTTTTCTTTTACAAATGGGTCAAGCCCCTCTCTGGCCTGGTTTAATAATGTTGGCTTGAAGGGGAGCTCTGGTGGCCTAGTGGCAAGAAGCTGCAACTACAATCCCAGAGGTGCACGGTTCGAATCCACCAGATGCTCTGCTGGGGAAGGAGGGGCAATCTCCTCCTGTACCAGTCAGATCTGATTTGATGGTACACGCACACACACACACAAAATAAAATAATGTTGGCTTGGTTGTAGAGGTCACATTTCTAGTCCATTCTTTCACACTTTGTCTATACCTACATTCTGGTGCCAAAACCCGGGAGGTGTAAGTAGCAGACCAGTGCAACTTTGAACTCAGGGCAGCGACAGCTCATTCTGGACAAAATCTGAGACCCTGAGGTTCATCTTGCTCCTCAAAAACCTTCCTATCTAGTGGACTAGATGAGGAAGACTCTTGTAAAAACAACTGAAGGGCTTGCCCTCCCCTCTCATAAGGCTTAGTATCCAAGTCACTAAATGCTGTCAAACCTGTGCCATAACAGACCTCTTCCTAATCTTGTATATATATGTCTTTCTATCTATCTCTTTCCCTAAAAGGACTCTTACACCAAGTCGTGACCTCCAACCCCCTTTCTGCTTCTCTCTGTGCATGCCACATGGGACAAAAACATTCCAGAAAGAATATCTTTATATATATCTTGATTTCTGATCTTTCTATCTTAGGCATCAAGGCTGAAGATCCCCTGTAATCCCTTTTGTTCAGAACAAGAATGGAAAAAATGGATAAGGAATCTGGAGACGCCTATTTTCTTTACCACTTACCTGACCACTGTTTGGAACCTCAGCTGTCCTACAGGGACACCTGGTGAATTGTCCTGAGTGTTCCTCGATACTGTCCAGTATCTAAGAAACCAACATAAGAGTGCAGTTCTCTAGAATTCCTCCAGACAGCCCCCTAGGCTGCTTTTAAAAATTCCTCTCAAACCTAAGACTCTCCCCAGACATTAAACCTAAACAATGCATTTGTCTCTTCATCTTTGTGTGGACCCTTTATAAATTAGATAAGCAAACACAATGGCCTGAATATTTACATTGGTCCTTTGACCCCAACATTTTCCTGATTTAGACAACTTCTTCCACGTAAAGGACAAGTCATCAGAGATCCCTGACATTCAAGCCTTCTTCGTCCTCAGGGTCAAGACCATTCCTTTTGTAAAAATTATACCCTCTACCATGTTCTCTTCTTTTTTTATTTTTTAATTGGGAAAAACATATTGAGGGTACAAGGAGGTGAGGGTTGGGGGCAGAAGGGTGAGGATGGGCCAGGATGCAGCTGCAGAGCTGCACAGTTTGTTCGGTGGAGGGAGCAGGTGAAGGAAATGATGAGGGTCCAGTGGGGACCAGATGCTACAGAGGAATGACAAGCATTTTCCAATAGTAATTAAACCAACTGTCTTATTGATTTGGGAATTGGATGCTGACTCTCTGGCTTCTTCATGCTGAACAGGGGCATAGATGTAAAGGGGGGAAGGGAGGACGCTTTATCACCTTACTGGTGATCTTGGGTTAAAACTGCTTGCCTTCTTGTTCTGTTAGAAGATATTTTCCTGTCATTTGCTCCCCTCTGGACTGCAAAGTGTTTTCCCAGGTGGGTCCAGTGGGGATGGCTGGTTGAACCCAGAGGCTCCATCCTCCTTTGCTTCCTTAGCTGTCAGTTGCATTTCCTTTTTGTCACAGGCACTGGGTTCAGGGTCAATTCTGAAGTAAAACTCAGTGTTGAGGTTACTTATTGGATAGGGAGCAAATCTAGAGAGAACAAACTTGTGAGTTACAGATAGAAGGGCTTTGAGTGTGTTGCTTTCAGGTTTACTGGGGGAGAGGGTGGCAGAAGGTGGTCTAGGTAACATTCTCTGGATACCCTAGGCATTCTTTTTTTCCCCTTCCCCACCCAGGGGCCAGATGGCACAATCTGGGGACTGAGGAGCTCACCCTGAGGGCCACAACGGCTCGCCCCAAGCCGAGGGCGGAGGGCAGCCCGCCCCAGGCAAAGGGCTGCGCCGGCTCACCCTGAGCCGGGGGCCGAGGGTGGCCCGCCCCGGGCAGAGCAACACCCCCCAGGAGCTGGCTGGTATACTCCCCTTCCAATTGCCCCTACTCCAGTCTGGTCCCTTCGCCTGACTGAGGACTACGTGGTCAGGGATAGTGACTCCAATTCCAGCACCACCACTTTTAACCCCCAAAAGTGGTCATACTATATATTTAAGCAGGTGTCACTGCCCTCTCCCTTTATATATGATAAAGGGAACCTGAGAACTGTGAACAGACTCCCCCCAGGTCTAATCATCTTTTGGCAGAAGCATTAATCAGAACAAAATATATGGTGCATTTAGGATGTCGGTCCTCTTGTGCATGCTGCCACTGTTAATTGTCATCAGACTCACAGTGACTTTCAGCAATCCATTGTATAGGTAATCGTCTTCTTTGGCCTGTCCAAGGAAACCCAAACCTGCAGATGGCAGGGCACACATCCCATCTCCCGCCTCCCACACAGGCGGCCGGTGGGGTGCACCCCCCCACAGCACGGGCAGCCAGCGGGGCACACGGCCACCCCCCATCGCGGGCAGCCATTGGGGGCGCGCAACCCCTCTCGCGTGGGCTGCCGGTGGGAGCCCGCTTCCCCCATCACCACCATCCTGGCTCCAAGAATTCTCTCCAGAACAAGTCCACCTTGCAGCAGCATGGTGGCTTCACTGCACCAGTCTTGAGGAGGGCCGGTGCCCAGCATCCATTATGGGTCAGGGAATCCATTGGTCCAGTTGTGGAAGCCTCATGGAGCTGTGGCGGCTGTGCGGTGCGGTGCGGGCTCTGCGGAAGGCGGTTGGGAGCCGTGAGACTCACCCGTTCCTCCTTGGGAATCCTTGAATTCCTGTTGTTGAGCCTCGATCTTCCCTGAGGGCCAGTCATCAACTGTTTAACTGTTCAATTATCAATAAGCCGAAGTCTGTAGAAGGCCATAGTGGCCCTGCTTTAAGTGGTTCGCTGCTCCCGCAGCTCACCACGCTGTCTCTGCCTCCACCGCCATCTTGGATCCCTCCCCATGTTCTCTTCTTAAACAGCCTTCTGCCCACAGCCCTGTTACCACCTTCACCCTACACCTTAGACCCTGACATTGCAGATGACTCCTCACCCTATCTGGCCCCACAGCAACCTCCTCCTTCTCCATCCCTGACCATTCCCTCTGGCTGCTCCCCTGACTCTTCTACCCATCCCTCTTGCTTCTCTCCACCAGTCAGCAGGTCAAAATTCTCCAGTCAATGTCCCCTCTTCACCCTTTGGGAAGTCATAGAAATGGAAGGTCTCATAAATGTACATGTCACGGGGGAGCTCTGGTGGCCTAGTAGCAAGAAGCTGTACTGCAATCCCAAAGGTACACGGTTCGAATCCACCAGATGCTCCGCCAGAGAAGGAGGGACAATTTCCTCCTGTACCAGTCAGATCTGATTTGACAGTACATGCACAAAAAATAATAAAATTTTTAAAAAGTACATGTCCCTTTTATCATCACAGATATCTTCCAAATAGAAGCCAAAGCCGAATCCTTTTCAGAGAACCCCGAGAAGTTCGGTAAATAGTTCTTCCACCTCATTCCAGCTTACCAGCTTACATGGAATGACCTCTATTACATTCTCACTGCCATTCTAATCATATTTGGCAGACAGCTATATAATATGCTGACCAGTTACATGAATCACTACAGAACCCACCCAGCAACACTGCTCCTCCTTGCAACAAACTCAGTTGCACATACTAACCTGGAAACCAGGAGTCCTCACAAAGGCCACATAATTACATGTCTCTTAGCAAGTATGGAATAGAATAGCCACAATAAATTAACTATTATAAGATCAGGGATCTTACACAGGGGTCTACAGAAAACCCTCCCCTCTTCTTTACCAGACTCACTGAAGTCATAATGAAATCTATCAAACTATAATCTACATCTCATGAGGGACTTTATTTTTCTCATCTTGCCTTTATCGGATAATCAACTCTTGTATTAGATACAAACGTCAACAATTAGAACACCACAACAAGATTAAGTTAACACTGCCTTTCATGTCTTTAATAAGAGAAAGAAAGAGGTAAAACTGGCAACAAAACAAAAACAAAAACTAAGTATCTCCTCCTGGCCAGATCTGTAACAGAGGTATAATTCCTGGCTAAAGCTCTTTCCAGAGCTTTTTCTTTTTCTCATTTCCTCAGGAAAATGAAAGGCTGGCAAAATTCCTCCAAAGGTCCCCCAAGTGTCTGTTTTCACTTTGGCCTAGAACAGCACCGGGCAAGAGACTGCCTGAACCCAAGGGCCCCAGTGAAACCTTGTCCACAATGAGGATAGCAGGGACACTGGAAAATGGACCATCCCCAAGAAAGGGACCCCTCACTTGCAGTCAGCCTGATGCACCTGCATTTCCCCTGTTCAGTCCTGACTGCTCCTCTGTCAGTCAATCCTCAGAGCCTAGGGCCACCAGGACAGTAACTGGACAGCCTCATTTTTTTAAGTCTGTACTGGTGCAGGCTTCTCAGTACTTCTTGAATTCTCAGGACCTCTCTCAAAATCTTCTCTCTGTTGTAGACATGAAAACCATCTCTGAGAGACCATTACAAACAGCACCTTCATATGGCACCTCTGGTTATTAATAGTACGTTCACACAGCGATCTTTAGTGTTGCCTAATGTCCCACTCCTCTCTTGGGAATGGACCTACTGCATAAACTCAGGCCTCTCTTCATTCCTACACAGCCATAAACTGCCCAACTTATTTTACATCAACAGGACCTTCCTCCCCCCTCCCACTTAACCCCCAAACCTCTGTCTCTCCCAGTAAACTCCCAAATATACTGATGATCATTAAGCTATTGCATCTCACCATAACCTGATCCTCATAAAACTTAAGGATCCTTCTTGCACTGCCCACATTCCCCAACACCTTCTCTGCAAGGCTGGATCGGACTAAAATCCATTACCATTAAGCTATTACAATCCAGCCTTCTTAGTCCAACACATTCACCTCGCAATACTCTTTTTTTTAAAATATTTTATTTTATTTTTATTGTGTGCGTGTACCATCAAATCAGATCTGACTGGTACAGGAGGAGATTGCCCCTCCTTCCCCGGCAGAGCATCTGGTGGATTCGAACCGTGCACCTCTGGGATTGTAGTTGCAGCTTCTTGCCACTAGGCCACCAGAGCTCCCCTGCAATACTCTTATTTCAGCCGTCAAAAACCCAATGGCTCTTTTTGTTTAATCAAGATCTCTGAAAGATTAATCATACCATCATTCCCACATACCCAGTTGTCTTAAATCCCTACACCCTCCTATTTCAGATACACCCCTCAACAGATCTATTCACTGTTTTAGACCTCAAAGATGCGTCCTCACCCATCCCAATTTGCAAAACCTGATTCGCAAAACCTCTTTGCCTTCACTTGGCATACACACAGCTGCTCAACTGACCTGGGCCATGCTGCCACAGGGCTCTGAGAAAGCCCCCACTGCTTTAGCCAAGCCCTGCACAAGGATCTCCTCTCCCTGTTTTACATTCAGTACTCTAATTCAGTATGTTGATGGTCTCCTTCTAGGGAGCCCCACACCAGCTGACAACCATATGCACACAACACAGCTGCTAAACACACTATCTTCCCGGGCATACCAAGTCACAAGATGTAAGGGCCAGATAGCTCAGCAACAAGTGATATATTTAGGGGTCCATTTAATCCCCACCATGTATCAAACTCCAAACAGCTAGAAACAGGCCATACAGGATCTCCCCATACCCCACACAAGAAAACAACAGCATCCCTTCCCTGGCCTCGCCAGTCATTTAGGCTTTGGATCCCCCAGCTACCCTATCACTGCTAAATCCCTACAAGAAGGCATAAAAGGAGATCGTCTGAGCCTCTGCATGTCCCTAACATTAAACACATTCAGCAACTCAGAATTCTTCAACAGTCCCAGTTGTTTCTTCCCTTTAGCTTAATCCATAGCTTCAATGGCAAAGCACCTGGAGTCCTA